CCGCCATATCCACCAACCCTTCAATCCCCACCATCGTTCCGTTCCCTCCACCTCCTCCCTCATCCGGCGCATCCAGCACACCGCCTCATTCCTCGCCCATCAAAGTCACTCCTCTTCCCCCCCCGCATTCCCAAACCCTCTCCCAACCCATCATGACCACCACCATCCGTCCCACCTATTCCCAAGTCACCTCCGGGGCTTTCCCCGCAATGCCACAACTTCCACCCAACTACCTCCTTGAGGACAACAACCAAATCGRCCACACCTGCTACGACACCACCCCCGATAACCTCAGCTTCAACACCCTCGCGCAGATCGTTCACCGCGACGCGGAAATCTCCCGTTCCTTCCGATCTGGCGAAATTATGTCCTTCTCCGTCCTCCCCCACGAGGACGTTTTCCTCTTCCTAACCCARCTTCAGAACTCTTTTCAGCTCCACCACATGCCCCTTGCCCACTGGCTCCCCATTGCCACCTCCCGCCTCCTCGGCAATGCAGCCAAATGGTGGATGGCTGAAGCTAGCAACCGCCGAGCCTCCAGAGGACCACGCCCCACCTTCCTCCAATGGGCCACCCTCCTCACTGCCACCTTCCGCCCCCAGAAAACCATTGACGACTACCTTGAACAATTCTGCCACCTCCGCTAGACCGGTCCCACGGACCACTTCGTCCAATACGTCCGCTCCCTCCGACACCGCCTCCCCCACACCGTCATTCCCGACTGTGCGTTCATCTCCCGCATCAAACGAGTATGCCACAAAGACCTTGCAACGGCCCTCGCCCATGAACCCGACATGCCCCTTGCTGACCTCCTCTCTCGCATGCTCCACCACGATCGACTCCTCCACCCCCACCACCAGGCCCCCCCCGGCACCTCCCGCACCCGCTTTTTCCACCACATCACCCCCGAAGACACCACCTCCATCACTTCCTCAGACGAGTTCACCACATCTGACCCCGACGCATCTTTCGATTCACTCGACTCTTCATCCCTCACTTCCGAGGAACTCGATGTCGTCCAGTTCATGAGAATGGAGCGCAAAGATCGCARCTCTCGACCMCCCTCATCTMCCCCMCCCTCCCGCCTCAAGAAACTCACCCCGAGGAGCGCACCTACCTCCAAGCAAAAGGGGGTTGCTCGCGTTGTTGCCAATTGGGGCACCAACAAACCAACTGCCCCAACGCCGCACGATTCACCCGTCAGTCCGCCTCCACGCGACCCGCAACCTCCGCATCACCGCCCTCGGCAAGCGCGGGCCCCTCCTCATCATGAACACAGTCCCCAGGACACTGACCCGACATCAACATTGCATTTGTCAGCCTACCCATCAGTGACATCCTTCGTCGCACCGATGGCCCATCTGACATCGACGATTCATTTGCCTTCCCCCTCTCCGGCAACGCCCCCTCCACCGGACGATTCCCAGGCATCGCAAACACCTCCCACTGCCTCATGCTCCTCTACCCTTTCTCCAAATGCATCCACTATCACCTTCTCCGGTGTTGTTGAGGAACAAGCCCGACATGATCGGCTTGTCCGCTTCGGCAACGAACAACGCCGCCTCAACACCATCATCTCCACCGCCAACTCATCTCGTTTCCACCTCAAATTCATCGCTGCCACCCTTGGTGCATCTACAACTAAGTTCCGGGCCCTCCTCGACATTGGAGCCACCGGTAACTTCATCACCGACGCGTCTATCCGCAAAGCCGGTCGTACCTCTACCGGCTATGACTCCCCGATCACGATTCGCCTAGGGGATAAAGACACCGCCGTCGTAGTAGATCGCACGGTTCCCGAGACCATCATGACCGTCGGAACCCTCCGCAGTCAGGTCTCGTTTGATGTCATGCACTTGATGTGCGACATCGTCTTAGGAACCCCGTGGCTGGACCGCTACATGCCATACGCATTCCACCCCAACTTCCTTCGCCTC